GACGAGGAAATAAACGCTGGTCTCGATTTTTGTCGCGGCGCCCGGGGGTCTGGCGGGCGGCAGAACCCGCCGCCGCGGCGAGAGCACTGCGCGGTGCGCACATAAGACCCTAAGAACCTCAAGTGACGAATCTGACAAAAGCTCTTCGCGGTGCCCTGACCCGAGTCGCGGGCGCTATTGGGCGTTCCTGTGCTTTCGCGGGGGGCGGTGCAGATTTTTCCCACCCGCCATGAAAGGCGCGTATCCGGCGCCGCTCTGCCCGCGCTGTTCAGAATGACCCCAAGTGCCCGGCGTGGGCCGCTAGTCGGCGCACCTCGCGCGGGCGGCGCGACTTCGCCAGGCCCACTTCGCCCGCGCGACCTGCCCGGGCCGTCGGTCGCAGCGCGGGCCCTGCATTCCCAAGGCAGGTTTTCTCGCCAGGTTCGGGTTCCTCCCCCGTCGCCGCCCTCCGCGCCCCCCGCCCCCATCGTCGCGCCGCGAGACCGCCTTCGCGAGGCCGCCCTGCACTGCCCGCGTCGCGGAGCCCCGCCGACCAGCGCGCGGGCGCCCCGCCCAGCGGGGCGCGCGGGCCGCGAGCAGCGCGCTGCAATTTTCCGGCGCCGCGGCCGCGGCCGCGGCGCCGCAATCTTACATTGCCGCGCTCCTTCCCTTGAAGTGCGCCCCAATGGGCAGGCCCCCCGCTGCCGGCCGGCCCGCGGCCGCCTGGAGAGCGCGGACAAGGCGGGCGACCGCGCGAGGCCACCCCCCTTCTCCCTCCCCGCGTGTCCTACCCGGTGGTAGCCGTGCGTTGTGTGGGAAAACGAACGTCAAACTCGTAATCGTTCTGCTCGTAATCCTCCTCCTCCGCCGCCTCCTCCTCCTCCTCCTCCTCCTCATTCGCCCACCTCCCCATCCCCCCTTTCCTCGCCCCGCCTCAGAATCCCCCCCCCCCGCTGCCTCCTCATCGTTCGACAGGGCCGCCCACGCATAAACATTTGAACCCTGGGTCTGCTCGAGCTGATCCAAACCTTCGATGCGACGACGTTTCACTTTTGCCCCGCTGCATGCTGACGCACCTCCCAGGCAACTCGGCTGGGCATCGTTCCTCGATTGGCTGGCGGAGATGCATGGGGCGTCGAGGGCAAGGCGCAAACTGCCCCGACTGGCTTCAGTCGCGCGTCCGCAAATTTCCACGAACTCCCAAAAAGACCGCTTCAGCTGGCCGCGCGCGCCCCCCCCCCCCCCCCCCCCCCCGGCGCGCCAGCGAGAAAGCGCATTCTGCAAAATGGGGCCATAGCGTCAATGGCGCCTGCCATTTCGCCCCTTCGATCCCGATTGGGCCCCGGGGCCCCAGCATGGCGCCGACGTCGCCGAGTGGAGCCCCGACAGGGTCCCGAGACAGCTTCAAGGGGGCCCCGCGCGTTCCCGGGAGCGCCCCAATATGGCCCCACTCGGCGGCCACGTGGGCTCGCGCGGGGGGGGGGGGGTCCACTGGCGCGATCCACGTTTCCATCGAGGCCCTCAAGACTGTCGCAAGAAGGCCCCCCGCGCCCCCGGAAGGCATCGAAGAGGGGCCCTGGGGCGGCCCCACAGGCCGCGCGGGGGGAAATACAAAGAAAGAAAATATAAAAAGAGAGGAAAAATAATAATCATAATACGAACGATAGACCCAATATGTCTCCAGAAGGCCTCCGATTGTTCCCGACGTCTCTGAACTCGCGAACGGTGGCCGCTCTGTTCCAATATGTTTCCACGCTCATTCTCTTTTTCCCGGCAGTTGGCCCGGGCGTCGCGTCTGGGCGGGCTGGCGTGGCCGCGCGAGCCGTGGATAACTATTGCCAGAACGCGCCCCTACAAATATGGGCCCGAGTCGGGGGGGATCAGCGCGAAACGGAATGCTATAAAATTGACGGTGGCCCCATTGGACGGGATTGCTCTCGGAAGTGGTCGGAGCGGGACATCCCTGCCCCCCTCCTCTCCCCCTCTACTATCCGCCCCCCCCCCCCCCTCCTCTTTCCTTTGATGCGGCGCCAGCGCCAATCGCCAGCAGGCAGTTCAAACGGGCCCCGCGTCGCTGCCGGCGACTCGGCCCAGGCCGGGGATTCGCCCGCGGTGCGACTTTGCCCCGGCGCTGGACGACGCCGCGGAGGACGTTTTCCCCGGGGCCCCAAGCAGCGGCGCGGGGCACTGCTCAGCGCGGCGTCGGCGGCCCGCGGGCTCAGCGCAGGCGCCCCAGCGGCGGCGGCGGCGGCGGCGGCGGCGGCGGGGCGCAGGCGGCGGCCCCGGGGGCGGTCCGCCCCCGCCAAGTCCGAAAGAGGTCAGGGGCGCCCGCCGCCGCCTCGCCGTGCCGCGGGGGGCGCCGCGGTGGCCAGCTGGGCGCCCCCGGCCTGGCCCAGCGGCGCTCGGCGGCGCGCGGCGCGCCTCGCACGGATGGGGCGCCTTTGCGCAGCATGCAGGGCTCGCGAGACACTCGGCGCGGCCGACGTTCGCGAAGCGGGGCAGGCGCGATCCCCGATAAATGACGACGGCGTTGCCGATGAGACGCCGCGCTCCCGCTCGGCCGCCCCTGGATGCAAGCCGCGGCGCGGCTTAGATCAATGGAATGGGCGCTCGACCCCCCCCCCCGACTGATTGCAAGACGCTCGACGAGGCGCAGCGCCCCCTCGCTGCCTCCACGCAGGGGGTCGCGCGACGCGGTTGACCGCGAGGGCGCGGGGATCGCGCGGCCCCCCTAGAGAGGAAGCGCAGCGACGTCTCCTCCTGCGGCGCCCCCGGGTTGAAGGGCCGACGCAAAACGCTACTTGGCGAAGCCAATCGGAAGAGGAAGCGAAGAGAGGAGAAATAGGGCTACGGGTCTGGCACAACAATGACCGCCCAATACGCGGCTGCACTCGACCCGTAGATGCGCGCGACAGGGAAAGCGTGAGCCGCATCCAGGGCAGAGAATGACCCTCCGATTCTGCAAACCCGCAAGCACTCGGCCGCTGCGTGGCTGCGCGGAAGCCCTATCTGCTTCGCGAGGAGCGAGCGTTGTGTAGTTGCAAAACAGATCATGGATCAAAGAGCATGAGAGCTTGATCGCCCACGAAATGTCTGCGTTATCCATGAGGCCGCCTGTCGCGTGTATCTGCGGTCCTGCTCCCTGAGCTCCTCTTGCGACGTCTCAATGGCGGCATGGGTCTGCTCGGGCGAGGTACCCCGAGTCGCAGAAGTCCTTGATGCTCTGGTCAACCTGAAATGGATCTCACATTTCTTGGTGCTGGGCGTGGCCGTCAACAATGTCCGCGCATACTCATCAGTGCAACGGCATATGGCTTTTGAAGCCATCAACTCCGAGCCAGTACGACGCGTCCCATCTCCCACTGTTTTGCCGCATGTCCTTCGATCACCTTCGTACATCGATGATGGAAGGCGCGTGCTTTTTGACGTACATCATGTAGCACATATGATATGATTCGCAGCGGGTGCTCGGTCTGCTCCCGTGGATCTACCCAACTCATGCGAAGTCTGTCGCAGTCCTGCGTGAACTTACGTGCGAGTATGCTCGGACTCGATGGCTTAGTTCTGATTAGCTGCGTGGCATGTTGCGCTGGCTCCAGAACCGCAGTGGTGAGGAATCAGGTGTTGAAGCTGGCCCCCTTGGGTACCTCTAACACGCTGGGGAGCTGGACGGTGAAAAAAAAATGATGGTCGGGCTGCTGTTCTCGATCTGGTCGGCTCCGCGCGCCCGCTTGGGTCCGTGCGGCAAAATGCCCGCAGCTATCGAAGAGCGCCCGTCCGAGAATGATGATGCAGATTCACTCCTCGCGGCCGTCGAATGAGTGTATGTTACCTTCCCATCGTCCAGTTCTTCCAGTTGCGGATTCACTTTCATCGTGAGGTCATTCACCAATAGGGTTTAAGGTTTAGGTGAGCCCAGATCCCGCAGTGAGGGCGAACAAAAAAATGCTAGGCTGAACAGCCTTGCCCGCCACGGACTATCGGTATCCGTGCTTTGCCACGGGCAAGAGGGCATCTGGAACCAACACGGCTACTGAGGAGGAGGAGGAGGAGGAGGAGGAGGAAGAGGAGGAGGAGGAGGAGGAGGAGGAGGAGGAGGAGGAGGTGGGCGCGTCGGTAGGAAGTCAAAGCGAAAGACCCGATCGGAGCTCTAGACCCCATTGTGGGTATTGCTGGCATTGCCCTTGGCCCAGGGTGCCACCAGCTTTTAGCTCCATCTTGAGGCCCTCTGGGTCCCTCTTGGCCTCGTGAGGGGTGCTCGTGATGGGCTTCGACCTCTGAGACCCGACGCTGCAAACAAAACTGGGAGCGTCCCGAAACGCTTTGGAACGGATTTATAGCTTGCCCTACCCCACCCGACTAGACCCCATCATTCTGCTGTTTGACGTGCCGGATCGATGATTTGTGATAAGAGGCCTCCCAAGTGGGGTCCGAGTAGATGGGGTCGGAGGATCGCGCCGCATCGCCGATGCATTAGCGATGCGGCTCCAACGCCAGGATCCCCAGGACCTCCCCCGGATCCCCAGGACCCCCAGAAGTCTCGACCCACTCACTGGCACGGGCTTTTCATCCTTAGTTGACGTTGGACGGTCCCGAGGCCCTGTGGGGGCCCCCAGAAGCCGAAAACAACGAAAAGGCTGCTGTCGGGATGTGTTGCCGCGACGTTTGTTCTCGACGCGCCCAGGCACACAGAGTCGGCACCGCGGCAAACCACATGGCGAACGTTGCGCCCGAGGCGGCGTTTGCCCTGGTGGCCGAAGCGCCCTTCCCAAGACGTAAGGCCGCGCGTCGGATGCAAGTTTGAGAAAATGCCTCTGCGAGACGCCTGCCACGACGCTGGGAAATATGATATGCCTGGGGAGCTTGCAAACTTCGAGAAGCAAGCTTCGAAGGAACTTCGAAGAAAATTCGAAGGACCTGCGGGAAGGCTCCAGGCACGCGTGTTGGGAACGAGTAGGACAGCAAGCGGCGCGGCGACATGTTCTCGTGACTCGAAGGGGTCTGGGACCACAGGGGCCCGCCTCGACGGCGGTGGCACCTCTGGCGGCCCAGGCGAAGACGCCGCCCGCGTCGACGCTGACCGCCGCGGCCTGGTGCGACGCCTCCTCTGGAGCAAGAAGACGGGACTTCAAAAAAAATGGGAAAACTGATTTGTTCCGAACCATCCTGTGGTGTTGGGTCCTCGTTTTGAAAAGACGGTCCCCGAGGTCCTCCTCCTCCCTCCTCCCTCCTCCCTCCCCCTCCTCCCCCTCCTCCCTCCTCCCTGCGTTTCACCCACGCAGTACAACGTTTTGTGGCCCCATAGGGAGCTCCACCGAAGCCCCTAGTGGGACCGCCCGCATGCGTCTCCAACACCCATTTCGGCACACCCCATCATCGTTTCGCAGCCCCACAGGCAGCTCCACCGAAGGCACCAGTACCACCGCCCGCATGCGCCCCCCACACCCATTTCGGCACACCCCTCACACGTTTCGTGGCCCCACAAGGAGTTTCACCGAAGGCCCCAGTGCCACTGCCCGCATGCGCCCCCCGTGCCCATGTCGGTACACCCCTCATACGTTTCGTGGCCCGACAGTGAGCTCCACCGAAAGTTCCAGTGCCACCGCCCGCATGCATCCCACACCTGTTTCGCCACCGCCCGCATGCAGTCCCACACCCATTCCGGCACAGCCCTCACACGTTTCGAGGCCCCGTAGGGAGCTCAATCGAAGGTTCCAGTGCCGCCGCCCGCATGCGCCCCCCACACCCATTCCGGCACACCACTCACGCGCTTCACGGCCTCATAGGGAGCTCCACCGAAGGCCCCAGTACCACCGCCCGCATGCGCCCCCCACACACCCATTTCGGTACACCCCTCACACGTTTCGTGGCACCACAAGGAAAGGAGCTCCACCGCAGGTCCCAGGTGCCACCGCCAGCATGCGTCCCCCACAACCACTTCGGCGTACAAATCATACGTTTCGAGGCCCCGTAGAGATCTCCACCCAAGGCCCCAGTGCCACCGCCCGCATGCGCCCTCCCCCCCCCCCCACACACACACACTTCTTCACACCCCTCACACGTTTCGTGGCCCCACAGGGAGCTCCAATGAAGGCTCCAGTGCCACCGCCAGCATGCGTCCCCCACACCTGTTTCGGCACACCCCTCACACGCTTCGTGGCCCCGTGGGGAGCACCACCGAAGGCCCCAGTACCACCGCCCACATGCGCCCCCCATACATATTTCGGCACACCCCTCACGCGCTTCGTGGCCCCATAGGGAGCTCCAGCGAATGCCCCAGTGCCACCGCCCGCATGCGTCCCCCACACCAATTTCGGCACACCCCTTACGCGCTGCGTGGCCACATAGGGGGCTCCACCGATGGCCCCAGTGCAACCGCCCGCATGCGTCCCCCACACCCATTTCAGCGCACCGCGCACACGGTTCGAGGCCCCGGAGCTCCACCGAAGGCCCCAGTGCCACCGCCCGCATGCGTCCCCCACGCCCGTTTCGTCACATCCATCATACGATTTCGCGGCCCCATAGGGAGGTCCAACGAAGGCCCCAGCGCCACCGTCCGTATTCGTCCGCCGCACCCATTGCGGCACACCCCTCACAGGGCTCGCGGCCCGATAGGGAACGCCACCGAAGAAGATATTCACACTTGCGGTACTCACATATGGTTTGGTCCTTCGCCAGGCTAACTTTTCCTCTCTCTCTCTGTTCTTATATATATATATATGATACCGACCGAATAAAACTACAACATCTTTCTTTGAGGACTATAGGATTATGGGGCTATAGGGCCGTAGGACCATAGGGCTATTGGTCCATTGGGCTGTAGGGCGATAGGGCTATGGGGCTATAGGGATATAGGGCTATAAAGCTATAGGGCTATAGGGTTATAGGGCTATAGGGCGATTGGGCTATATAGCTATATGACTATACGGCTATGTGGCTGTGTGGCTATAGGGCTAGCGATAGGGCTATAGGGCTATGGGACTGGAGGTAGGGCTATAGGGCTATAAGGCTATTGGGCTAGATGGCTATCGGGCCGTAGGTTAATAGGGGGTTATAAAGCTATAGGGCTATAGGGCTATGAGACTATAAGACTATAGGGCAATAGGGCTATAGGGCTACTGGGCACCCGGGCACCCGGCTGGCGTGCCGCCGAAATTGGCGCCAACCCCTCACCTAACCATATGAATCCGTTAGGACCCCTACAGAGGCAAGTTCTGATTGGGCAATATTTAGGCAGCTCGAAACGCACTGATAGTATAAACAAGTCCGCTGGCCCCCTGGGGCCATCAGGCTGCGAGGCTTAGGTTTGCTGCTCCCTGCGCCAATTCCACTTTCCAGTTTCCAATGTTACAATATTGCTTTCTGCTTCTTACTGTAATTGGTTACTGTCCGCGCGAGGGAGGGAGCCGAAACCCAGCTCGGCCAGCGTCCCCGATCGCGTTGTCTGAATTTCTGGGGGGCCGTGGGCCACGTGAAAATACATGAGGTTCGCGCCCCCGACGCAGCAATCCTTGTACATTATGCATGTTAGCGCCCCCGAGGCCAAGATTCCTTCCAAATTATATCGTAAAATACGCTGTGCTCACGCCCCTGAGGCCACGATCCCTTGTAAATTACACTACGTTCTCGTCTCTGGGGCTACGATCCCCGGTAAATTACGCCACCGTCGCGCCCCCGAGGCTACGATCCCTTATACATTAGTTACTCGTTTTCGAAACCACGAGGCCGCGATTTCCTGTAAATTACACCACGCTCGCGCCCCCGATGCCATGATTCCGCGTACATTACGCTACATGCGCGCCCCCGAAGCCACGATCCCTCGCAAATCGCGCCGCACTCGCGCCCCCCAAGACAGCCAAGATGGCCTCAAAGACGGCTAAGATGGCTCCAAGATGCGCACAAGACGGCCCGATATTGCCTCAATATGGTCCACGACAGCCCAAAAGGCCCGCAGGGGGCCTCCAAGACGGCCCAAGAGGCCTCGAAGAGGTTCTCCAGGAAGGCCCGAAAGGGCCCAAATCATTGAGATTCCTTAGGTTTTTGAAGGATTTTGGCATTTGCGCCTTCTCGGCATTCCGACGGCCCAAGACGGCCCAAGACGCTCCCAGGGTCGCCGCAAGATCGCCCAAGAGGCCTCCAAGATGGCCCCATGACGGCCCAAGAGGCCCCTCAAGACGGCCCCAAGAGGCCCCAAGACGGCCCAAGAGGCCTCGAAGACGCCGAAGATGGCCTCTCAGACGGCCCTGGAGCACCCCGAGAGGACCCCAAGTCGGCCCAGAACGGCCCCCCAAACGGCTTCCGACGGGCCAGGAGCCCACCAAGATGGCCGAAGGTGGCTCGCAGCTGGCCCAAGACGGTTCAAGAGGCCTCCAAGAGGGCCTCCAGGAAAGCCAGAAAATGCCCAAAAGAGTGACTTCCCGTAGACTTTTGCAGGATTTTGACATTTGCTTCGTTTCGGCCTTCCGACGGCCCGATACGGCCCAAGAGCCCCCAAAGATCGCCCAAGGATCGCCCAAGAGGCCTCCAAGATGGCCCCAGAACGGCCCAAGAGGCGCCCAAGACGGCCCCAAGAGGCCCCCAAGACGGCCGAAGAGGCCTCCACGACGCTCAAGATGGCCTCCAAGACGGCCCACGAGCCCTCCAAGACGTCCTCCAAGAAGGCCCGAAAGGGTCAAAATGGCCTCCAGGCGGCCAAGATGACCTTCAAGATGCCCACGTGCTCCCCGAAGGCTTTCCAAACCGATTCGGGGAACACATGGTCCGATAGCTTGGCAGGTCTGGTCTCAACGTTAGGCCACATAGGCGCTTCCACAAAGGCAGGGGGCGGCTGTGATTCGCTGTAGGCGTCTTCGATCCGCCGCCCTCTGTCGATTCATCGCAGGGGTGCCTGGCGTGCTGGATCCTTTCGGTTTTGGTTTTGTTTTTTCCAAAAGAACCACCCTCGGGCTTCGGCCCGTCCCGCCGGCCACCCGGAAAGGACCTCAAGGAACACAATTCCCAAAGTTTCGCTCAAGATGGCTCAAGGTGGCCTCCAAGATGGCCACGTTGGCCCAAGATGGCCTCCAAGATGGTCCAAGATGGCCTCCAAGTCCGCCCAAGATGGTCCAAGACGACCTCCAAGACGGCCCAAGAGAGTCCAAGGCGGCCCAAGACGGCCCAAGAGGTCCCCCAGAGGCCTCCAAGACGGCCCGAGAGGCCTCCAAGAGGTCCTCCAGGAGGGCCCGACGATGCCAACATCATTGATTTCCCTTAGGTGTTTGAAGGATTTTGACATGTGTTTCTTCTCGGCTTTCCGACGACCCAAGACGGCCCAAGAGGCCCCCAGGATCGCCGCCACAGCGCCCAAGAGGCCTCCAAGGTGGCCTCAGGACTGCCCAAGAGGCCCCCAAGACGGCCCCAAGAGGGCACAAAGACGACCCAAGAGGCCTCCAAGACGCCCAAGATGGCCTCTAAGACGGCCCTGGAGCACCCCAAGAGGGCCCCAAGTCGGCCTAGAAAAAGGCCCCCCAAACGGCGTCCGACGGCGTCAGACGGGCCAGGAGCCCACCAAGATGGCCGAAGTTGGCTCGAAGCTGTCCCAAGACGGCCCAAGAGACCTTCAAGAGGGAGGGCCTGCAGGAAGGCCAGAAAATGCCAAACATATTCTCCCTGGGTGTCCGAAGGATTTTGACACTTGCTTCGTTTCGGCCTTCCGACGGCCCGACACGGCCCAAGAGCCCCTAAAGATCGCCCAAAGATCGCCCAAGAGGCCTCCAAGATGGCCCCAGAACGGCCCAAGAGGCCCCCAAGACGGCCCAGGATGCTTTTAAGACGCCCAAGATGGCCTCGAAGACGGCCCTGGAGCATTCCAAGAGGGCCCAAGTCGGCTCAGAGGCCCCCCAAACGGCTTCCGGCGGCGTCGGACGGGCCAGGGGCCCACCAAGACAGCCGAAGATGGCACTAAGATGGCCCAAGACGGCCTCCAAGAGGGACTCCAGGAAGGCCCGAAAAGGCCCAAATCATTGCTATCCCATGAGTTGTTGAAGGATTGTGGCATCTGCTTTTTTTCGGCCTTCCGACGGCCCGAGACGGCCCCAGTGCCCCCAAAGATCGCCCAAGAGGCCCAAGACGGCCCCAAGAGGCGCCCAAGACGGCCCCAAGAGGCCTCCAAGACGCCCAAGATGGCCTCCAAGACGGCCCAAGAGCCCTCCAAGACGTCCTCCAAGAAGGCCCGAAAGGGTCAAAATGGCCTCCAGGCGGCCAAGATGACCTTCAAGATGCCCACGTGCTCCCCGAAGGCTTTCCAAACCGATTCGGGGAACACATGGTCCGATAGCTTGGCAGGTCTGGTCTCAACGTTAGGCCACATAGGCGCTTCCACAAAGGCAGGGGGCGGCGGTGATTCGCCGTAGGCGTCTTCGATCCGCCGCCCTCTGTCGATTCATCGCAGGGGTGCCTGGCGTGCTGGACCCTTTCGGTTTTGGTTTTGTTTTTTCCAAAAGAACCACCCTCGGGCTTCGGCCCGTCCCGCCAGGCAACCCGGAAAGGACCTCAAGGAACACAATTCCCAATGTTTCGCTCAAGATGGCCCAAGGTGGCCTCCAAGATGGCCACGTTGGCCCAAGATGGCCTCCAAGATGGTCCAAGATGGCCTCCAAGTCCGCCTAAGATGGTCCAAGACGACCTCCAAGACGGCCCAAGAGAGTCCAAGGCGGCCCAAGACGGCCCAAGAGGTCCCCCAGAGGCCTCCAAGACGGCCCGAGAGGCCTCCAAGAGGTCCTCCAGGAGGGCCCGAAGAGGCCAACATCATTGATGTTCCTGAGGTGTTGGAAGGATTTTGGCACTCGCTTCTTCTCGGCCACGCGTGCGGGTTCCCGGGCCTGGTCCTGCCGCCCGCTCCCCCACGATGGCCCAGCATTGCGCTTGCTGCATTCCAGCCAGGGTGCAGCTTCGTTTGCCAACCCTTCCGCGCCCCCACGTGTGCGGCGCGCGGCCCGCCGGCCTCGCACTTCGTACTCTTCGTCGGCTACACGCTGTTTTGAGCTGCATTTCTCGAGCTGGGCCCCGCGTCAACAGGTACACCAGCGCAGCAGCCGCCTCAGTCCCCGCCGGCAGGGCTGTCCGCGCCGGCGCACCCAGGGAAGTGATTCGTCCCCCCTGAGTGGCCCTCGCCCCGCCTCTCCCCCTCTCTGCGGCCAACTGCTCTGTCCCACTTCCCGCTCTTGCATGCTGGCCAATTCGCTAAAGCGGTGCCCCCGTTGAGCTGGCTCCTTCCGCCAGCGCAGACGACCCCTGCCTAGCCGCCGACGCAAAAAGTTCTTGCCGCTTTTCTTGTTCGAGGTCTTCGCCCTAGACCACCCTCATAAGAAGCACCCCGAGAAGCGCAGCTGGTTGGCAAACGCAGCCAAGGAAGGAATCGGACAGGGCAAGGCTGTTTCGCAGACGTCCAGAGCCGTTTCGTAAACGCCACTTGTGGCCGTCGGGGTGTATATCCCTCCCCTGAAGCTTCCCGTCCTGCGAAGAGTGCAGGGCTGCCTAGCAAATGCCCATGACCGCTCAGTGAACGCCGAACTGTGGTGGTCGGTGTGCTTTTCCTCCCTTGCCGATGATCCTCAGAACATGTGTCAGCGCCAATGCGTGCTCGTCCACCGAAGCCCTCTCATACGACGCGGGCGGTGCAGCGATGGCCGACACAGGCAGAGCGGGGTGAGCACACAATGGGCTGACACACGTCCCGAGCATGGACCTTGAGGCTCCTTGCCCTGGAACATGGACGGCCCCAGAGCCGGCTCGCTCCTCTGGAGGCCTCCCACATGGGGTCCGACCCCATCGACTCTGGGGGCATGACATAATACCGATGCCGCTGCACTCCCTGGACCACTCCTGGGGTGCGCTCTGACCGGAACTTCGAGGCGAATCCAGCGATGGCGACGAGGGCCTCCCAGGAGGCCCGAAAGAGGCACGAAAGAGGGAAGGATAGCAGCACCAGCACCCTTGTCTCATCCGGCACTCGGACCCCATCTGGGAGGCCAGGCTTGCGAGGCGGGGATGTATGCATGTCCACCGCCTGTCGAACCGACGCCCTGGGACACCAGCGGGCGGTGGATATGGATACGCTTTGGCCCTGGGGGGCCCGATTCCATTTACATCCACCGCCTGCCGAGGCCCCCCCACCGTTGATCCCCCAGGCGGCGGCTATGTGGAAGCTCGGCAACTCGCAAGAGTGACCTCGGCAAGGGCGGCCTCTGGTGCGCGACCCTCGGCAAGGGCGCAGGGGGGGCCAACACCCCGCGCGCGGAAGCCGCTGCTGCCGCGCCGCCTCCGGCCAGCTGGGGTCCCCCGTGTGCCCGCACCAGGGGCCGCTCCGGCGACGAGCCACTCGCACGCGCAGCCGGCAAATCCCCGCCTCTCGGGCGGGTGGCACGTGGGGGGGGGACCAAAACGGGGAGGGAGAAAAGGGCCCTCAGGGTAAGGGCCCCTTTTTTGGAGCCAGCAGGGGCCCAAAGGGAGCCCCGCAGGGCACCGTTGGCCGTTCGGGCCCTTCCCCCCCCCCCCCCCCTATTTCGGTCGCCTCCCATTACCACCCGCCCGATCGGTCGGCTGGCTCCGCACCAGCGTCCCCGGCCTGTGGCTCCGCACGGCGCCGTGGAACGGCCAGCCGTCCTCGGACCTCTCCCCGGGTGCGCCCGGACCAGGACTTCGAGGCGAATCCAGCGGTGGCGACGAGGGCCTCCCAGGAGGCCCGACGAGGCCCCCAAACGAGGGAAGGGTAGCCGATGAGTCCCCACCTCGGCCGGCTCCTCACGAGCGTCCCCGGCCTGTGGCTCCGCACGGCGCTGTGGAGAGGCCGGCCGTCCTCGGCGGCGCACCTCGCCGCGGCCAGCAACACCGCGAGCCGCGCCGGCCTCCCACGGGCGCCGCCTCTCCGCGGGGGAGGGGGAGGAGGCCGCCCGGGCAGCGCAGAGGAGCTCTCGGGGCGCGCTGCGAATGGGCTGCTGCAGTACGGAGCGCTATAGATGTCGCCGCGCCGGCTGTTGTCGACGCGCCCCTGTGGACGACGCCGACACCACGGCAAACCCGCGGCAAGCCCTGCGCCCCGCGCCCCCTAAGAGAGGACGCCGGCACCGCTGCAAACCCCAGAGCAAACGCACCGCGCCCGAGGCGGCGTTTACCCTGGTGGCAGCGGCGCCCTCACGAAGACGTAAGCCCGCGCGACAAAGAAGGAGCGAAACCTTCTGTGGGCACACTGACAAAGAGCCTCGGTGCACGAGCAGGGCCAGGGGAATAACCACGGAATGACCTGAGGAACAGCGGGCCCCTTCCGAACCCAGAGCGGTGCTCATTTCGGCGTCTTGGCTGCACGGTCGGGAACTTTTGCTCAGCGCGTCGCGGAGGCGGCCCCGGCGACACGCTGTGCCCTGCGAGCTGATGGCGTGTCGCTCCGCTCCGCGGGGCGGGATGCAAAAATGAGCCCACTGAAAGTAAAGTATGTTGCCTTCAGTGAGCTCGCTGCCGCCAGCCCGAGGCAAAATGTCTCCATTCAGTGACATGTGTTGCCCTCAGTGAGCAAATTGCCGCCATCCCGGTGCAAGCATACCGTCGCAGAGATTTGACTGAGAAGCGCAAAACGTCCCTTGCACCAGAAAACTTACACAATTCTCCCTCGAATGATACGAAGACAACGTCAGGGCGGGATAGGCTCGTTGGGGGGGTCGGTTCGAAGTTTTCGGACGCTTCCGTCGGTCCTCGGCGGTTTTCCAAACTCGGAATGCCTTTGAGCAGCTGCGCCTCGCCGAGAGCGTTTCCAGGGTGCCTGGATCGTCCCGAACGGCCAGGGGCCCAAATCCCCGTGGGCTTCCCACGGGCGCCACCTCCGAGGGGAGGCCGTCCCGGCAGAGGCCATGGCGGCGGCATCGGTGCCAGCGAGTCCTTGCCGCCTACATGAATCGAGTGGAATTTCTTTTGAACCCGAGAGAGTGATGCCCCCCCCCGCTGTTGAGCCAGACCGGCTGCGGATTAGGATGACGATGATGATGATGATGATGATGATGATGATGATGATGATGATGATGATGATGATGATGATGATGATGATGATGATGATGGTCATGATGATGACGATGAGGATGATGATGATGAGGATGATGATGATGCTGATGCTGATGATGATGATTCTGACGATGACTGCGTTGGTGATGGTCATGATAGTGATGGTGATGGTGATGGTGGTGGTGATTGTGGTGGTGATGGTGATGGTGCTGGTGATGGTGATGGCATGGTGATAGTGATAGTGATGGTGACGGTTATGGTGATGGCGATGGCGATGGTGGTCCGGCGGGAAATGAAGAAGGCGATACACAAGAAATGACGATGACGATGGCGACGATGACGGTGTTGACGACGATGACGAACACGACGACGCTGACACTGATGATGGCACCTCCCCAAGACAGCAATGCCAGGCGTACTGGACACGACGCTTCTCTTAAGACCGGCGAGATGTATTGCTCAGTCCAGCGCAGCATGTGCGTATGTGCTTCTCTGAATCCCACCATCTCTTTGAGCGTAGGTGTTTGAACGACCTCTTCCAACCGCCCCCTGCCCTGTCGTAGAGGAAGGAACGTCTGCACGAACATGACCTTGCGAAGCCCCGCGCGGACTTCTGGGATCGTCGCTGGGCCCGCCATTGCGGCGCCTCGCGCCGCCCCTGGCGGCTCCGCACGCCAGGGAGGGGGGGGCTTCAGCGCAGATCGAACAAATACGCGCGGAGCTCCGACGGTTTACGCGTACTTCTTTCCTCGCACGACATCCGCATGTTTCAAGGCTCGCTGTTCGCTGGACAGGCCAAGTGAGAAGAGATCGCAAAGCAGATGGCCGCGATGCGAATGAGAGAGTCGCCAAGCAAAACCCGACAGCTCACGTTTATGCAATTGCTCACGCATCGGTTCGGGGAGGGGTTCGACCCCCCCCCCTCCCTGCCCCCACGCCCGAAGACTTCTCCCCTCGCCTCGCCTGGCGAAGCCTCCTGGTGACCACTTGGAGGAAACTTGGGGGTGTTAGCCTCTAGTGGGCCTCTGGGGGCCGTTTCGGCGCCAAAGGACGCTTCACTTCGATTGACCTTTTGGGATTTTGAACAGCTTGGAATAATCTTGGCCCTTTCTTGAGCCCTCCTGGGGGCCTCTGGGACCGTCTTGGGCCCCTCCAGGGTCTGTCTTGGATCCCCATTGAAGCCATCTCGAGGCTTCAGGAACCAATCGGAAACGAGACTGCGAAAAGAATATTCAAGAATTTCCATGAACGTTTTGTCTGTGCGGGTCCTATATCGTCTCGGAGGCTAGGGGCGAACTCCTTCGTACCTGGAGTCGGTGCCCGTGTGGTCTCCCGTATGGTTTCCCGTACGGTCTCCCGTATGGTCCCCCGTATGGTCTCCAGCATGGTCTCCCGTATGGTCTCCGATCTGGTATCCCGACTGGTTCATCGTGTTGTCTCCCGTATGGTCTACCGCGTGGTCTTGCATCTGAGCTCCCCTATGGTCCCCCGTATGGACTCACACATGGACTCTCGTGCAGTCTCCCTTTACGGTCTCCCATGTGGTATCTTTTGCGGTCTTGCTTACGGTATGCCTTACGCAGTCCCTTGTAGCACGTTTCGCAATATTCGTTATAGTACTCGTCGCCATATATCGCGCTCTCTAGAATGACTGTCTACATTAATCTTCACTTGCAACCATGCTCTTCTCTCTCTCTCTCTCTCTCTCTTTCTCTCGGCTCATACGAGAGCATGCTTAAAGTATGTTGCCGCCAGATGCGCAATTGAAGACAGCATGGAAGCGCAAACTAAAACAAAACACCTGCGGGTAAAAGGCGCATGTTGCTCTACGCGGCGCGTGCTTCTGAAGTGTTGTTGTGCAGCGTCCTCCGGATTCTCCCGGAATCCTCAAGACTCCTGAGGGTGCCTGATGCCTCCTCTGGATTCCTCGGACTCTTCGGGGTTCCTCAACATTCCTAAAGATTACGCAGAATTCCCCGGAATCCCCAGGATGCCAAGATATCCACCCGGATTCCTTAGGACTCCTTTCGGTTCTTCAAGAAGCGTCGGGTCCTCGAGCTCGATGGGGCCGCCGGCGGGCGTCCTTGCGATCGAGGGCAAGCACCAGGCGAGGACGCCGCCGACGCCTGGCTTGAGTTCGGCCGCGGCAGGCCGGGCGCGCGCCGCTGCGTCGGACTGGATCATCGTGGCTGCGACGCTCTCGGACCTCTAACTATTCACTCGGCGCAGGCGCTCCCACCGCCCCCACATGCGGAGGGGGGAGGGGCGGCCGGGGTCGACCTCGCAGCGCCGCGCTGCGTTTAGCGCCTGCAGTCGCTGCCTACGGTAAGCCGGGTTCAATTCGCAATACTTCCCAGCGGCCGCGTCGCGCGCTTCCACCGGGGTGGCCTCGGGGGCGCTGTCCTCGCCAGTGGGCTTCTCGCAGGACTTGTAGCACTTCTCACAGAGCTGGCGGACCTTGGCATGCGGTCCCGCCCCCGGCCTGACCGTGTTGCAGGCCGGCCTTGGCGACGGCGGCGAGACGCCGTCCACGGCCAGGGCGGCGCTGTCCAGGCCCGCGGTGGGGAAGCTCCGCGACCCAGCCGGCGAACGCGGCCGCGATGCTGCCCGGCGGCAGCGGCGGGGAAGGCGCGGGCGCAGGCAGCTCCAAGGAAACGCGGCTGCGGGCGGGCGCACAAGAAAGACTCAGGGACAGCACCGCCTGCCACCGAACAGGCTCTGGGCCAGGTGGACGTGTACTCGGCTGGTTTTCCATGCCAGCCATTTTCGTGCGCCGGTAACAATGGCGGCGCTCAAAATGACCGGGCACATGTGCTACCACATATCGTGAAGTATTTGCGGACTGGCCTTCCCAAGACGTTCCTGCTGGAGAACGTGGAGGGCCTGGCAACTACGCACCAGGACACGCTCAAATGGCTCCTGGCCCAGCTGAAGGCAGCTGCAGACAAAGCGTACTACGTCACCGCCTCCATCATGAAGACGGGGGATCACGGCATACCCCAACATAGGAACAGGATCATCATCGTCGGCATTAAGAAGGCATGCATGCAGGTGGAGTTCAAATTTCCTTCGCCCATTGGGCGCCCATCTCTGGACGCGGTTTTGTCTCCCAAGCAACACGATGCGACAGTCAATCACATGCCTCCGGAGAGCGCGACTGTCGCGCGCAAGAACTTTCTGCAGATGGGGGAAAGTTTGGGGTGAAACGCCGCGCAGGCGTTTGATTGTGCGCTTGTGGCGCCAGCTCCGCTCGCATCGCTCGCTCCGCCGATGCCGCTCCTCTTGAGCTGGCGCGCCCAGGAGCGCCCTGGGCCCTGTGCGGCAGCTTATTCACCGTGAATGGCGCCTGGGGTGCCTTGGAAGGCCTTGAGAGAGCCCTGGAGGGCAGTCAGGGGGGCTCCTGGGGGGCTCCTGGAGAGCTCCTGGGGGGCTCCTGGGCGGTGCCCAATTCACCGTGACGCTGGTCTGCGGGGGCTCTTGGGGGGCTCCTAGGGGACTCCTGGGGGGCTCCTGGGGAGCTCCCAGGGCGCTCCTGGCGGGTTCATGAGGGGGTGCATGGGCGGTGCTCAATTCACCGTGACGCTGGTCTGGGGGGGTGCCTGGGGGGCTCCGAGGGGGCTCCTGGTCGCCAGGGCCGCCCAGGGGCTCAGGCAATGGCCAATTCACCGTGACGGGCGTCCGGGGGGTCCCAGAGCCGCTCTGTGGCCCTGGGCGTTGGCTACTTCACCGTGACGGGCGTCTGGGGGCTATTCCGGGCCGCCCAGGGGGTGGGGCGGCTGCTAATTCACCGTGACGGGCGCCCGGGGGGTGCCAGAGCCGCTCTGGGGCCCTGGGCGGTGGCTAATTCACCGTGACGGGCGTCCGGGAGCCATCCAGGGCCGCCCAGGGGGTGGGGCGGCGGCTAATTCACCGTGACGGGCGCCCGGGGGGTCCCAGAGCCGCTCTGGGGCCCTGGGCGGTGGCTAATTCACCGTGACGGGCGTCCGGGGGCTATCCAGGGCCGCCCAAGGAGTGGGGCAGCGGCTATTCACCGTGACGGGCGCCCGGGGGGTCCCAGAGCCCCAAACACCGCGCGGCCGCAGCGGGGCCACGCCGAAGACGGAGCCCCGGGGCCCAACGGGCCGACAGGGCCTGGCGGGGAACCACCGGGAAGCGCGCGCGGCCAAGCGGCGGTGCAATTCCTGGGAACCCGCGGACAAGCGTCTTGCACGTTGGCAGAGGAAGCAGCGCCCCCCCCGCTTGGGCCGACGGCGAGGGGGGGGAACGGCCACCGCCCAGGAGCGGGGAACACTGCCTGCTCGCTTGTGCAAGGCCCTCGTCCGTGCCCGCACAAGGGGGGAGGGAACGGAAGCCCGCGCCGCGTTCGGCCCCGCGCGGGAATGACGCCTGCGCCCGCTGCCAAAGCACGAGCCCGCCAGGCGATGCACCGCCAGCTGACGCGCGCGGGCGCATCCCTCGCACTGGGTTGACCGTGGCGCTGGGTTGCCTCAAAGGACCTTGCCCACTTGGCATCTTCGACTTCCTTAAACTACCCCTCGGGGATCCGCGACCGGAAGGAAAAGGCAGGGGGCCCGCAACCCCTGGCCTCGCAGCGACGGCGCCCGCGTGCGCCTGGGAACCTGCTCAGCAAGCTAAAACAGGGCTAGCATCGGGACAAATCGCTCCAGAGCGTTCCGGAGCGCTCCCAGAGCGCTCCAGAACGCTCTGGAGCGGCCGCGGCGCCCAATACATCCCCCAAACCCGCCGATTCTCAGAGACTTCGAGTCATCCCGATCCGATTTTGTCCAGATCTTCGCGTCGTTTTACAAGCCCCCCCGCCGGCGCGCGCGTCGGGAGCGGCCAAGAGGGGGGTGTCCAAGAGGGGGGGGTGCAAATCATGACCGGCGGCATGTGCGCGGCCCAGCGGGGGGGACAGGGACGTAATGAAACAAGAAGAGGCGCCACGAAATCTGGGGAGATATCATGGCCCCCGCCATGATATCCACCCCCCCCCTAGTCATCACCCCCCTCTTTTCCGCCCCCGAGCGCGGGCGCCCCCGCAGAGAAGCTGGGGCGCTGGCAGGGCGGGCGCCCAGTTCCTGCCGGTGCGTCTACACAGGGGGGGGGGCGGGGCCCGCGGTGGCAGGCTGGGCTCGCCGCGCCGTGGCAGCTGCTGCCGTCTCTTGGCCCGCGCCCTTACGCCCTGCGAAATGCTTAAGAAATCACGGGTTAAGAAATTCATAGTCTCAGAACTTGAATTCAAAACAAACCCAACATTTCTATCAAAAGCCCAGGACCAGGGCCCAGGATTTACATGGAAACGTTAAGAATAATCGAGGCTCTGGCCGAAAATTTAAGTTTTCTCAAGCATCGCCTAAGGTGTACTCTCCTGCCACGGGGGGGGGGGGGGGCAGTCATTCGAGTTCAAGGTCGCGAGCCCCCTCGCGTTCCGGCAGAGGGGCACGTAGTTTGAGGTCCTCCCCACGAGTGTACAAGATGCCTGTGCACACTACAGGGCCTGTGAGCACAACAAACTTGTGCATACAGTGCGCGTGCGCACCACAATGCGTGTTCACACCACGCTGCCTGTGCACAACGCCATGCCTGTGTGCACCACTGCGCACAACTCTGACTGCAAACACCACACAGACTTTGCAAGCCATAGCTCCTGCAAGCACTACATGAGGTCCCCACCACTTTGTGGGGGGGGAGTGACTCCGCATACCACACAACCAACCTGCACCTCGACGCCTGCGTACACAAAAGTGCCTGTGCGCAACAACCGAAATTTCTGTACACCACAATGCTTGTGCATAACATGGAAGCCGTGTACAACACAAGGCTTATGTGAACAACGCTGTTCGTGTACACAAACATGCTTGTGTACACCAC